CTTCCATATCATATGTGGCTCCAGCCAAAAACAAATCGAAGGTGGTTGGCATAGTGCTTACTGTAAATGAGGATTTATTTATTTATATCATGCCAACAATATGCCTGGCTGTTTTATAAATGCACAATAGTTGATTCCTGACTCAAAGAGCTAACAGCTGAAAAGACAGGAATAGCTAAGGCAAAATACACAGGGAGCCCAGGAGAAAAGACTACCTTAAAATTGACTTATATTTTTCCAGCTAATACCTGCTATTCTCAAATGGTAAGAGTGAACAGGATGTTTGATTCAGAGGAGACTTGAAAATAAGCAGAGAAGAAATAAACAAGTGCAGCGTAAGGTGCCAAGTCCCCAAGGTTAGGACAGCACACTAAGGACAGAGTAGCAAGGCAGCAAAGAAGAAAATAGAAGAATATAAAACACCCATTGCAACTGGCAATCAGGGAAGGATGAAGGTAGCCAGGTAGGAGATGTGACATGTAGTTAGAAATTAATTGTGAGAAGGCAAACTGGCCCAGACACTTTTCTGAAAGCAAAATTGAGGCCTTGAAAATCCTGTGAAATGAGTTTGTTAAAAAACAAAACAAAACAAAACAAAAACTTCATATAGCCCTTTTCTCCAGTTTTGCTTAGAGATTAGTTTGTCAACACCTGCACAGGGCTTTCAGATGTCATGTCTTCAGGATGAGTCATAATGCAGTATTGCCAACCCCACCATGTCAAAAAGCATGAGACAAACTCTTAAAAATCAAGAGATTTGGCATGTAAATCATGAGATGCTATTTGTGAAGTGTGTGTACGCAGTTCCCAAGGCAAAGGCAGCAGGGTGCAGAGCTCCAGCCCGCCTCTGTCCTGCGCACGTATCTGTGGGGCACATGGTCCCCATGCCTCCCCCTCCCTAGAGGCCAACCTGTGCCCCACTCCCTCCCTCACCATAGGGACCTCGATGTCCTCCCTCCTGCCCCTTCCCTACACCCCCACCCCTACCCCTTCCCCTCCACAGACTTACCAGCTTGACACTCTCTACATGTGCCGGAAGAAAAAATCCTGAGATTTGATCCCTCTATCAGGAGATCATGAGGCAGGGTTCATTTGACTTGGAAATCGGGAGTCTCCTGATTTTTTTTTTTTCATGAGAGTTGGCATTGCTGATAATGCCAAGATGGCAACATGACTATTGTTTGCTTAATATGGTGAGGAAGGACCCTCCAGTGGAGCAGTGGTGCAGGCTGAATGAGCATGTCCTGAAACACCCAAATCCTTGTTTCAGTCCCTGATCCTGGATTTGACAGCAAATAGTCCAGCTGCTGCTCTACTGAATCCAGTGCACAGACATGGCAGAATTCACGTCCTGCACTTGGTATGGCAGGTCTCTGGGAAATTGTCTGCATGTGCCTGAATTACAAGTCAGATCCTCAATACTCACTTGAAAAATAACTGTTTCTTCTGGCCATGTAATATTGCACACACTTTCCAGGGATATAATGGTATCACCAACCCATTGTTTGGGGTAAATTTCCAACATGTTTTAAAAGCCTTTTTAAAAATGCAGAGGAGAAGGGGGTGAAGGGTGGATACCGAGGGGAGGGAAATGACATGTATTTACAGGTGTTGCATCAAGGGTTACAGAGAGCAACTTTTTTTTTGTGCCAAGGCTCCATAGGACCTTTGCCAAAGACAACTGTTTAGGGCATGTGGTGAATTAGATCAATTCTTGGCTGCCCTACCTGTGCCCCAGATATTTTATTGAGTGGAGGCTTTCACACTCAAAGTGGGGCAACCCCAAGGCTCAAATTAAACAGAGCCTCAAATTAAAAAAAGCATTTGGCTGTGATGATGCACCAGGAGCAATCTGTGAAATTACTAGCTGAAGCCTTGAAGTAGGGTTGGGCACCATCAAGACTACATGGTTCAGAGAGGCGTGGGCTTTGTTACGTAACAGCCTTCCTCATCAGATGCTATGAATGGACCGGCAGAACGAAAGTGTTTTTTATAGATGAGAAAGGGGTGGTGGGGATGGGACACTGATAAGAGAGGATAAGAACAGGTTGATTAGACCAACTGAGTCACTCATTCAGTTTAACAGTAACTGAAGTTAAAACTCAAGCAGACACACATTCAAACATGTGTTAAGTGTTCTCATGGCCCCTGCAAAGTTGTTCCCTTTCAGGCAGGGTTTATCACCCAACACTTACTAACTTTAATTACCTATTAACCATCCAACGATTTGCAGGTTATAAGTGAATGTGTGATAAGGCCATGAGATGAACAAGGCAGTTACCACCTTGAGGGACACAGAGTTAACAGCTAGTTCAGGTAATGGGATAAGATTCCCAGTTGAAAACGTAGTTATGAAAATCCAGTCTGTGGACTTTTTGTTCACAATTTGACTTTTAAAGGTGGCCTTTAAAATTGTCTGGTTTAAGGACGGCTACTCAGAGCTCAGTGATGATGTGTTCAGGGGTGTTAAAGCGATCTGCTTTGAGTTTTTGTATGCTTCTGGAATTGATATCCGATTGGCGTCCACTCGTTCTTTTCCATCGGGATCACCCCATCTGGCCAATGTATCCGGCAGGGCTCTGTAAGCAAGTGGTGATGTACATGAAGTTGGTGGAGGATCAAGTGAATGAGCGTGATATTATAGGCAGATGTTACATGCGGGTGAATGAACCTTATTCTTTCCGTCAGCCTGTTTACCTGATGAAGTAGGTTGTTGCCTATAGCTAACAAGAGACAACCGGTTTGATTTGTTCCACATCAACTTCAGCCATTACAAACAACCAAGCCCAATGTCCTGTATTACGTATCTGAATTATTCAGATTAACCCTGCCTTGGAACAATCATGGCTACTTCAGCTTCATTGCCTCTCTGACAGCTCTGTGTAGATGCTGTGCCACCTCTGTGTTGATGTGGGTCATATCCCAGACTAATCAGGGCCACATTAAAATAGTTATGTTTTTAGCTTACGAAAGCTCATGCCTCTCTGAACCAGTTAGTCTGAGATGGCTGATTTTCTACAGGACAAAGCCTTTTATCCTGGGATCCTACAGAGGTACAAACCCTCTGTCCCACCCTGAGTACCTGTGAAGTACCCTTGAAGTACTGAGATAACACTTTTTCCCAGGACAATTGGGGCTCATTGTTATTCAAGATATATGTGTAAAAAAATTGTCCCATACCTGTTTAGGTGTGAATCCCAGAACAATCAGAACAGGATCAACAGGTAACATGTTTTTAAGGTAACATGACATCTGCCCTACTGTCTGCCTGACTTCAGACCCACACAGCTATCCACCTCTCAACTTGTATATAAAACCAGAAAGAGTCCCAGTTCTTTTGCTTTGATCTGGTTGAAAAGCACATTCCCAAATTGCAGCCACACTTTGTAAGCTCCTCAGACAGGTGAACAATGAAAAGTCTATTTTAACTAAACCTGTGCTTCTCCACTGCAAATCCAGTTAGTATCCCAGTCCCAAGATCATGAAAGCAAGCTAACTTTATCTGAGAATGAGTGCATTGGTAGATTGCCATGTCTGTGAAGTAAGGTTGATATGGAAAGACAACTTGAAAACAAGCCCTGACTGGAAGATATGGGAAATCCAGTAGACTTCTGAGATTCACCTGGTAATAAGCAGTCTTCAGGGAAACTTTTTGAAAGCCCACAGTTCATCACCATGCAGCGCATGCTATGCATGGTTGGTCAGCTCTTGGTTGATAAGCAAACACAATTCAGAAATACATAAAACCCTTCACGGATAATGACATCAGATCTGACAGCACCCTGTTATCATATTAACATTGTTCTTTTTGTCAAATAGCCATTTATTTTTCTCCAAAACCACTGGATGTATAAGCTGGGAGAGGCAATTTTGTAGATTTCACTAATCTAAAGAAATATTTAGGTTTTAAAGCAATCTACCAATTTGCAATAGGAAGTACAAACCGTTCGTTCAGACGTTCTGTATTTTTTGACCAGTCAACCCTGCCTTGTTTCTGACTCTGTAAGCTATTATCCCAAATCAGAGCTCAATGGTACCAAAAGCAATACTCTTTGCCTTTCCAATTGTTTGGGCCAAAAGTCATTAGTCTTTTTGTACATTGGATACAGAAACAAGCATCGGTTGCAATAAACCCCTATTATCATCGTGTTCCTGATGGAAGGTAGCAATGCATTACGTTGAAACAAAAGCCACCTATCATAGAAATGGAAAGAGCATCTCTTCTGTTGGGCGACTCATGTTTCTGCTGCATCATGCCTTTGATGTGTGTTTGCTGAGTTTGATGTGTCAACAAATGGTGGCAGCTAATATTGCAGGCAATTTCCCATTTCTTCTAACTTAAACTGAACAAGCAGGAGGGAGAAAGCAATGGTACAGTCTCTGTCACTAGCCATTTGGTGTGCAAGTCACGGCATCATGTTTTTCATGTGTAGGGTTACTTTCTCCATGCCATGCTTTTCAGGACTTGCAAATGCTGAACACGGGTGGATCAAATTCTGTGCTGATTTACTTCATCTCCTCATGGAGGAAGCAACCCATTTAGTATAAAAACATTATTGTTATTTTTCCTGATGACAGTCTATTTGTATCTTCTGATCTTGTGACGTATTTTGTACCTGTTCCCCTTAAATGTAATTATGCTTAAAGAGAATACAGAAACTAATTTTAAGCAAATATTCATTTCTTAGTGTCAAATTGTATTTCTTCCTCTTCCCCTCCATTGCATTCTTCAGAAAACTTGGCAAATTGATTGCAAACTATCCAAGTAGGGATCTCCCCACAACCTGACACTCTCTCCCGCTCTCCCTTTCTTCCCTGAACAACAACCCATTTTTCTGATAGCCCCCTCTCAGAGAATCCCCTTCTGAGACCAAAGTGTTAAAACTTCGCCAGGGGCTTGTTACAGCAGTACTGATGTGAGGTATTCTTTTACGTGCTACTCGTTTATTATGTCCTGATCATGAACTAATTCATTTACTCCTGTCTCTTTGCTTGCACAGCTGCAAGTTGAGATCATGGATGCAACCGGCAAAAGTATCGAAACCCCTGTCCCTCTGGATATCATAATCATCGATCAGAATGACAACAGGCCCATCTTCAGGGAAGGACCGTACATTGGACATGTCATGGAAGGATCACCTACAGGTACGCTGATGTCAGCTATGCCTCCGTAAGCGCCTTTAGGCCTAATTTTGCCATCTGATACATGCATGCTTTTTCCTTTTGCTGAATGATTCCTGTTGACTCTGTAAGAAGGGTATGGCTCATTAACTCCTCCCTGCGTACAGGGGATGTGGGAGGAGCCCTGTGGGCAAAGGGTAATCGTTTCTGGGACAAAGAAGTGTCTTCAGGGAAACCCTAGCAACAATATTGCTTGGGAAGAAAGCTCCGGCTGAAGTTCTTGTTTTGTTATTTTTATCTGGGTTATCAAACACGACAAACCCCAGGATAAAATTAAGGTTCAAACTAAATACAGCATGTGTGGCTTCTGCTCAGGGTGGGAATTGGGCCTGTTCACAGCTAGATTAGCTGCTAGCAGGATTTATGTGTTGATGCAATGCCCAAGTGAGAGAAATGAAAAGAATAAGTGGAAAACTGTACTGAAAAATATGCTCATATTTTAGGGAAATTTTAGCTATTACAACATACTGTTACAACAACATAAAAATATGTAGTGTAGACTGGCACTAGTAGTGAACATTTCCTTGCTAGTCAAGTATGTATTTGATGATTGTATGTGTTTCACTTGGCATTTTCTGTAAAATTAAGGGTCTTAGAACAGAACATCCTTCCAAACTGTAGCTTGGATGTGGATAGTCTCTCTGTCTTAACTCTTCCTGTGGTTACAGTTGGTTATATTCTGTGCCAGGTCCTATCTTTTGCAGTTGTGTAATATAGCTGTGAGTTTTTAAGTAACTGTTGAATTCTGCTCTGGAGTTATTTGCACTTCATTTGTATTTATATGGTCAGATATAATTCTGATCTGATTTAAAGTAGTGTGAATGAGGACAAGTTACTTTGGAGTGACGGGGATATAAGTGGGATTACAACTGGACCATACATCTGTTAGTCTGTTTCTACATATTACTAAAAAAGGTTAAACCCATACATCTTAGCCAGGGAAAGCTGTGACTGAGTAATGACTCTGGGGTTTGGCTGTTGGCCACATTGCAATCTTTCAGGCTGCAATCAAATGCATATATATTATTTTGAACAATTAATATTTGTTTGAGCTCAGTATATGGGCATGTAACCAAGGGAAATCAGTTTCTCCTTCTCCTTTGATCTATTAAACCTTTCATAAGAACAGATATTAATCTCAGTTCAAACTTTATCATTGATGTGGTCACTAGACATCGTTTAGGCTTTTCAGCAAGTTTTACGTATAAGTACAGAGTTATTCTCCCCTGGTTGGCTTCCGATTTGAATTTCAGTATGAGCTGCTGTCCTGTTTGATTAAAAGAGAAGGGTGTTCAGATAAATGTGCAATGTTGAATGTTGCAGCATTTAACCAGTGGGCCAAGCACCAGCAGGAACATTTAGGAGATTGACCATCTTTTTATTCTAACCAGAGAGAAATCAGTGTCATGTTCAGCAGATTGATTATCCAAGTGGAAAATCAACTGTTTTCTAATGTTGTGTTTTGCCTGCTTCAGATCTTGGTGAACTGTGAGGAACCCACAAGAACTTCCCCTAAAGTTTATTCCTAAATCCTCTTCCCCACCACTACCACTGTTCTCATTATAGAGGAATAGGAGCTTCATCACTGATTGCACATGCACAATTATGAGAGTTCCTCTCCCATTCTTTTGTACACACCAATCAATAGTAGATAACAGAGTATGACTATACCTAATCGGAACAAGTGGCTGGTTTCATGACTTTTTTTTTTCTTTAGACTGCAACGTAAGCAGTTTCTTGGTATGCGTAGTTAAACCTATCATTCAGCAGGCCAGCTAATGATTTTACTTTGTCCAGATAGCTGTGCAGTATTTAAGAGCCATGGGGTTAAGGAAACAATGAAACAAAATTGTGTGGTTATTTGTGGGACTGGGGAGGAAGCCTTTGAGTATCCTGAAGTATATCAGTTTTTCAGATATCCAAACCCAGTGTCCAACATAGCAGCAAATTCCTATGAGGTCATATTGTGTAGTAGTGTAAGAGTGATGGTATAGCTGGGATGGACGACTGGATGAAGAATGCCGTGCATTTGAAAACTTGTCTAGCTCTATCCCAATTGTATAATCGGTCCAGTAAAAGGTTTCAACATATTTGTCAGAATTTGAACAAAATCTAGCTTTAAAACAAAACCCAAGGCTTCTTTATCCTAAAGTTCCCAGAAAAGATAGATACATAAATATATATGAATATTTTTATTGCTGTTAGCATCCAGAAATTAAAAATAAAAAGTCATCTGTAATACAGACATAAATTTAATTTTTTTGCAGTTTACATTAAATTATTCATTCTTACCCAGGGAATATATAACTGGGATTTTACACTTGATTGGCGCTAAAAATTCAAATGCATTTTGGTCTCTATTAATTATCACCAAAAAGAAGAATGATCAGCATGGGAAAATATATAAAGTGGTTTCAAAATATGAAGGCAGCACGGTTGAACGGTCATACGATACATAGTGAAAGGGAGGAAGTTCGTGAGGAGCCAGTTGGAGCTGGGCATCACAAACCCTTAGCTGAGAGCTGGTTACCTGCAGGACAGTTTTCATGGAAGGTCGTGGAAGCACTTCTTCTTGCTTGTGCTTTGATTCACATAACTTTGCATTGACAGGCCATGTCCAGACGAGCGTGGACACCTGTGCTGCTGCTAGTTGTCCCCAGGGAACGCCTGTGCCACATGCCCTCTGGTGGTTACTCTTGGTGGGGTAGAGGAGGATGGGGCCAGCTACTATGCTAGCCCCAGCAGCCTTACTTGGGATCCTGGGGGCTGGGGAAACTGCAGCTGCATCACTCCCGCAGCTGGGAGCCTGGACAGCAGCCAGAATATGCCTCTGGCCAGCCAGGCTCCAGTTTTAAGTGGCATGCACTACCGCCACCAGCATTGCCCCACGTTTTTTCTGCACTGTTTTTTTTTTTTTTTTTTTACTCCGGGATATCCCGGGGTCAAAAAAACCCACTCTGCACTGCAAGGTAGCAGAGTGGGAAATGCCCAAGTATGTGGTGCTGCAGACAGGTCTGCGGCGTCACATACCGCACGGCCACACTCATCTGGACGTGGCCAGAGAGGGTGGATTTGATGAGACTATGGTAGGCCTTTAATTTTTATGATTTTATGATTCTGTGTCTTGTATGTGGGCAAGCTGATTATAATTTATGGTTGTGTTTTGGGGGAAGGGGGAAGAGAAACAAAACACCATGCACAAGGTCAGAGTCGGAGGGAATGTGCCTGCTTGCGTTTCTCCCAGGGAGGTCTTACTCTAAGAACATTATAACAATTAACTCTGTGCCTAAAGAGTTTATAATTCAAAGTAGTCTTCATTAAGTATTCAGAGTACAGAGACAGGGCAGGGGGAACCATATTTTTGCTCACACCCTGTCAGCAGCAAATTAAACGTGGTTCAAACAGGGGCACTTTGCAGTGCTCCATGTATAATGCAGTTCAGAAGTCATTCATGCCTATGGTACAGCATTTACATATCTGCCCAAATGCAGCGTCAACCTGGCTGCACTGCATAAATACCCAAAATTCCCATTATTCCTACCATCTTCCAGCTTGACAATCCATTCCGTTGCCATTAGTAATTTTTTTTGCCTTCCTACAAAAGGGAGTTGACAGGGTTCCCTATACGTGCTTAAAGAGAACAGAGTCAGGAGCAGCAAGCAGACAACCTTGGCAATCTAGAGTAGCACTGAAGATGAAAGGATTTTTCCCTAGAGGGAAGGGTCTAGAAAGGTCTGATGGCTTGATTTGCCTGGAGGTGGTAAGAAGCTTGAAGCAAATGCAGTTGCCAACTGTCTGTAAATTTGTCTCAAGTCAAGCCTCTCAAGTAAATTTATGGACAGTCTTTTAAAAAAAAAAAAAAGAAAAAGAAAAAAATACCCTAACAAAGCTTGTCTCTAAAGTCCGTAAAAAAAAAAATAGAGCTGTTCATAAAGATGCTAAGGAACTGTGAATTCAACTGAAGATTGTCATCGGACTGAGATAAGTGCAAGTGGTGATGGACAGGCAGAGCCCATACTACCTTGCATCTGAGTGAGAGGGCAGCTCTGCAACTTTCAAGGAACTCTTCATCACGGCTCCATCACCTCCTCTGTCCTGCCACTGTGCGCCTGTAATGGCTGGTTGTCTTGAGAGTAGGCAGGGCACCAGGCAGATAGACTAAGGCACCGGACACAACAAGGAGCGGGGTGGCATGATCAAAACACTTCAGTATTTTAAAACAAAAATGCTTGGTCATCAATAAAAAGTCTGCAAATGTGGTCAGTAAGAAAAAGAAAATGCCCTTGGGTTGGCAACTCAGATTCTGGAGGAGGGATACAGATTGAATTCTTTCCTCAGCTTTGCCATTAACTTGTTATAGGACCTATGGCAGGAAGAAGAGAAGGATGCTCCGGTCATTTGCATGCTGCTGCAGGACATATAGGCCTTCAGTTTCTTGGTGCTTCTGCTGCCCATTTGTAAAAGGGTTAATTAGCACACCCCTTCCTCATGAGCGTTTTATAAGGGCAAATACAGTAAAAGCTGTATTAACCAGCATGAGTGGGGGAAGAGGGGTGCCGGTTATCTAAAAATTCTGGTTATCTGGGCTTGCACATAGCGGCGGTATGGGATGGTGGCAGCCACCACTGCATGCAGACAGTTCTCCACCCCCTCCCTCCCCACGTCGAGCCCAGCGCCTGTGTGGCCCGCAGAGGGGAGCCACTGCCCTCGCCCCGCCTCCCCCCCGCCCGGCCCTGCTCAAGAAATACTGGATGCGCATGACGATTAATAGAGTATTCTGGTTAGTAAAATGCCGGTTAACACAACTTAATTGTACATTGATTAATGTGAGACACAAAATCTGTGGTACTGTGAACCATACAAGCACCCATGGACTTGTCCACATTATTGCACCTTCCCATTCTACCCATTGTCATGGGTAGGTTGGTAGTGCCCAAGCGAAGATGCAGCATATGCCTTCAAGA